AGTCGCAAGCAAAATTTTTACACATGTTGGACGGGTCGTCATTGTTAATAGAGGAGGATAGAAATGGAATAAATTTCAACAAGGCGATATTTTCATGTGTTTTTATATGAGTTACAAAGAAGAGAAAATACACTAAGTATGTTTGTAAAAGAAAGAAGACATTATATAATATGTAAGGATTGTGTGGGTGATGCGCGTGCGTGAAAATTCAGTCACAAACGAGATATCCCTGGAACAAGTCCCGGTTGGTGATACTTCTACCGCATGTTGGAAGAAAAAAAAAAAAAAAGAAAAGAAAAACAGGTAGCATCCCATTTTTATAGCTGCTTAACAGCACCACTTAACGACATCTTGACGAAGCCAAGTAGAGATAACCCACAGATTTCTTAGGTTGTTGCTAATTAGCTAATAACTGATGATGGTGAATACTAGTCGTCATTAGTTCTTATTGTACAGAAATAAGAGATTGCGGTGGTATAATTCGGTAATTTGAATTTTTACAAAAATTCTAATCAATGAATAATAAAAAATACTTTAAGAAAAGTATAATTAATAATGAGACTCAGACAAACAATTTTGATAATATTCAAAAGTTTTAATCTCCGGATTTTTATCATGTTTGTATCCTTAACCATCACACGCATGGTTTGTTTTTATTTCATGGAATATGAAGAAATATTTTAAGACAACTTCAAAACCTTTAGTGCCAGTTCTTTGGTTGCCTTGTATTTTGACAATCATCCATCTCATAAGATAATGTTAGCAGCCTGATTGTTTAGAATCATTTCCGTCAAGAGTAGTACCTAAAATAACTCATCTATCCAATTATTGAATGACAATATCATCCACAAGATCCAAATGTCTTTTACCTTGCATCATATTTTCTCCTCCACCTGTGATAGTAACACTTATTCTCACCTATCTTAATGCCCTCTTTAAAAACTGTCACTAGTTTCTGCCATCCTCTGTGTTATAAATGCGCATATGGTAGCACTAGAGAAAAAACGAAATAAAGGCAAAAAGAGAGGAAGACAAGAATTGTTACAATAAAATTCTTTGTATTTCTGATACAGAGGATATGAGTGGAGGTCTCTTTGTGGGCAAGGTAAGTGATGTGGAGGAAGGAGATAGTTGGTAACTACTGGAGTTGATGTGTGTGTCAGGTTGGTTGACCGAACACATGACTCATTGTTTTTTTCATGTTTTTTTTCTTTGGTGGCAACATTTGTGATTGGCCCCATTTATATCGTTTTTTATATTTTTTGAGGGGATTTGTTTTGTGTGACAGATGTGGTGTTTGCAGCTACTGTACAGAGATCGACCTTTTATTTTTATTTCTGCTCTCCTAGTGTTCACATCTGTCCAACATTCGACAAATAGCTGATCACTCTGACCTCATGGATGGCTTATAATTGGCACTTATCTAAAATGCAACCCAACTATATTAGCCCATGAGCAGAACTCCCTACCTACTAGTTGTACTTGATTCTGAAAGTTTTCATTTACATTAATAATTTCAACCCGAGCAAGGCAATAAAGCCACTAAGATGCAAGGATTTTAGAGAAGGGCATTGAGAGTAACAGTCTCAGTCAGAGATGGGCAGAGGGGCAGTCAAGTCCTTGCTGGCTGAAGGAAAGACCTAGTCCATTAGTCTATCAGTGTAGAGATATCCCCACTTACCTCCAGACAGTGCCAAGTGAATCAATGAATAAAGAAAAGAACACAGTATACTGAAAGTAGTTTTGATGTTTTCTTTTCTTGCCATGGCAATATTTCATCTTCCATTTCTTTGTTCAACATACACTGGGTCTTCCCAGTTTTTGTTGACACCAATTCAAATAGGAACCAAACCATGGCAAGTGGCAGAAACTGACCAATCATTGAAAAACTGCCCAAGTGACAATGGCTGTATGTATTCACATTAAACAACTGTGATTGCAAAAAGCTGTGGTAGTTGTTTTGCTTTTGGCCTTTGTTGGGAATTACAAGAGGGTGTTGAAATTTTTTTCAGGCCAACCCACTTCCCAAAAATCTATTTATTTTTTTAAGGGATTCTTTTTAAGTTAAGAAATTTCAGCTCCTTACAAGTAATTTCTAGTTTGAAGAATCTGTTTGCAAAATTGTGATATTTTACTCTTATCAATAGTAATTTATTTAGGTTTTATTTTTGCTGATTTGATTTGAAGGATCAGGCTCTAAATTACCCACATTTATTTTCAAAAGTTGATTAACTAATGCTGAAAATAAATTGATCTCTGCTGTCAGTGTTCATTGATGTCTTAATATGCTATTGATTCTCATAGATTAAGTCTTCCTACAATCATATAATGCATCACTGGTTCTTTTTTTATGATTTTTATTCAATTAATTCACTGACATGTAAAGTCATAAATTGTAACATTCTTTGTATGTGCACATATTTGTTTTGTTTTGTGATATTCTAACAATTACTTGAAATGACAAGATTCAAAAGTATATAGAATTTGTAAGTGGGTTTCCAAGTCTTACTTCTTTTACCCCCACCTAAAAATTTAATATGTTTTATTAGAATATTAAAAATAGTTTTTGAAACAATAAAAATTACTAAGGGAATATCCAACAATATTGGTGTCAAGAAGAAAACATCCTTTTGACAGACTATTTTTTTGTCGATTCATATGTTCAACTTTGCCCAATATAAAATGGCTAATATTTGTTACTGTAGTTCTTTTGCAACATGAATTTTGGTTATTGAAATTGCTGTTTAATCTCCATATTAAAATAGAAGATAAAATATTTGCTTATCTAAAATTTCACAAAATTTAATTTCTGTATTTATTTCAATACAAAAAAAATGATTTTTTTTTTCTTTTTCAGAGTTTGTGAAAATGATGGTGTCCAAGTAAAAGGTTTCTTAAAAAAATTTAAAATCTATCTATAGCAGTTAAAATAAATGGATGGATATTAATAATTCTGTTATAAGTCAATAAAGATTTTTCTTTACTATGAAAAAATTGTGATATACTATGTAATTCTTTTTTCTCTTTTTCTTTTTGTAATAGTGTAAATTTGAAACACTTATTTTCTCATACACCAATGTAATAAAATGCTTCATCTTCCTACTTCTTAGGCCAATGATCATCATTTTAATGAAAGGGATGCTAAAACACACTTTAGACATCTTTAGCTTTTGTTTGAGGTTTCACTTTATTTAAAATTTTGATTAGGGAGAAATTGAGATATTGAATAAAGGATCAGGTTTCTGTTTGAATTTTTGGAATGAAGATTTACAATTATTTACACTATTTACATTTGGACTATTGTCCTCATCTTTATTGTTGTTATCACAATGCTTCATCCATTGTGCTTTCATCAAGTATATATTGATCTGTGTAACCTACAGGGAATTCTGAACTTAGCAATTTTTATTTAATCTATGGGATTAGACTGTTCTTGTTCCACTGCCCATGTCTAGGGATATCTTACCTAGTTTATATTTTTAGTACTGCTTAGTTATTGCTCACCCATTTCCACTGAGTTCAAGCCTGGTCCAGGAATTGAACTCACAATTATTATGTTACCAAATTTACAAACTATTTGTTCTGTAAGAACTATACAATATATCCCTAGACATGGTCAGATTAAATAAAAAATGTTCAGTTCAGAATCCATTGTTGGTTACCCAGATCAATAAACACCTGATGAAGGCCAGCCAAGATGTTGAGACAACAAAAATAAAGGATAAGGACAATAGTCTGAATGTAAATAGTGTAAATAAGGATGAGGTTTCTTACACTTGTTGACCATCATTTGATCTCTCAATTCTGCTGACTTTCTGTCATTCTGGGATTACCTGCTTCTGCCTACACTTCAGTTTCAGATGAATAGGATGGTTTGAATAAAAGAGGCTAGCTAGAATGTTTTAAAGGATGGCTACTACTTATTTCTGAGTACACCTGTCTGACAGGGTAGCTAGTCAAACACTATTACTGATGAGTACTCAACCCACAGAACCCACCTGTAGTTTATACTGCAACTATAATGAGCAGACCATAGTTATAGTTTCTGAGAGAGAGTGCCTGGTCTGGTGGGATCCATTTTTTTAACAAAACCAGTATACTCAAACCCCACGGTTACCATGACTTACACAACCATCAGCAACTTTTGAACAGTTCCATCTACCAATTTCACTCACAAGGCTTGTGTCAATCTGTAGCTGAAAAATCAACTATGAAGAGATTCAAATCTGGGCTTCATGATTGAAATTTAAACATTCTAACCATTCAGTCATGCACCTAATGTTTTAATAATTTTAAAAATTATATTTTGATAATTTTCAGTAATGAAACATTTTGTCAAAGATTGCTCACAACTTAGATTAAGAGTTGGTTGGAATAAAAATGTCCCAGGTGAATTATGCTTCAAGAGAGAATAATTATTCCAACATGTTTGAAATGCAAAATTGCTCTAGTTAATTGCTTACAGGAACAGCCAAATGTTGAATTCCACCATCCCAAAATAATCATATAGTTATAGCAAAGAATATGAAATCATTTTTGTATCATTTGCATAATCCCAGTATTGTATCATTTCACCCCAAGAAGGGTAATAATGACACTAAGATGCAAGGGTTTACTAAGAGTGAAAGAAAATGAGAAAACATTAGTGAGGAAAAAGGACAAGAGAACAGGATTTAGAAAGACTAGAGATAATGATTTTAGTTGTATCTAAGTCTTTAAAGATTGTAGTTGACAGGAAAACAAGAAACTGGAAGAGAGTTCCACAGGTTTGATTGTTTTGATTTTTTACGGCATATCAACCCTTTGCGGGTTATTTAAAGTCAGAAAATATTTTTTATTTACTAATTAAACCATAGCTGGGGGGAGAAAAGGTGGATTCATAACTTCTTCAAGGGTATTTGCCCATATGTGACTATAAAAAAACCTAATAGGAATTAGAACTTGGCTCTCCAATTAACAATTCCAAATATTTATCCATTATACCATCCATATATCCAAGGTTACAGCACCTGGTATTCCCAAGTGATCACCCATCTAAGTACTGATCAGGCTTGATGTTGCTAAACTTCGGTGATTGTATGGGTATTTCTTTATAGTTTCCAGTTCTAATTTTTATATAATTTTTAAAAAAAAATCATTTCTCTCTGAGCAATGCCACTAATATGTCAGAGGCTACTGAGAGTAAAAAAAAAAATGATAAAATTTTAGAGAGAAGAAAGAACAATAGAAGAAAAGGGTTCAAAAAGACTGGAGATGGTGATTGATATTGCATTTAAATTTTTGAAGGTGTAGATGGCATGAAAGCAAGAAATTAGAAGAGTTTTACAGGTGATAAAAGAAACTATTAGTATAAAACTTATGACTACATCTAGCTATTTCAACAGAAAAATTAAGAGACTTAGTTGCCAATCTAGTAGCATGCTTAAATTCATGTGATTGAGATATCAAGGTTGAGAGCTCATTAAAACAACTGCCATGAAAATATTTATGAAAAAGAAAGAGGAAAGTCATATTACGGCTGTGGGAAAGTGACTGAAGTCTAGATACTAGGTCAAGACCGATAACATTAAAGACCATTATGTGAATTTTGTTGAGAATCTTCAGATAGTAGACAAGAAATGGCAGCAATATTCTCAGATGAATAGTAGATTTATAAATATACAAGATGGATTCTGATGAGAAAAATAGTCTGGCATGACACAGTGAACCAACTTTCCAAGCAATAGACCTAGTAACTGATACTTGAAAATAAATTGTGTAAACATTTTTATGTATTTATAAAAGACAATACAGCTTTTTTATAGCAAAAGTGGTTCTAAATACTAGAAAGATTAAATTCACTATAATTTCTTAATCTACGAAAATAAATACATAAAATAGCTGTTTAATGAATTTTAAATTTAAATCCCACATTATTTATATCAGTTGTTTATTGGTCATATAAAACTGAGAACTTCAAATGATAATTTTTTGAAAACTTTAAAAAAATATTTTCTTAAAAGCAAAGTGTCCCTCCTGTATGGAAGATTATTGTCCCCTTTGACATAGTGCCATATGAAACTATAGTAAATAATACAGTTATAAAATTACAAGCTGATAATTACTAATACTAAAAGTTATAATAATATTAAACCAATTACTAATACTAAAAATTATAGTAGACTAAAATAATTGCTAATATTAAAAATTATAGTAATATTAAAATAATTACTACTAATGAAAAATGTTGATGGACATAAGTTTAGGGATTTTTCCAGTTGCATATATGTGTGTGTGTGTGCTCAGCAATGCATAGAGTGGAAAGAAATTGTTCTTTTTTTTTCAATCTTTCAATCCTAATTGTTCGTTCTTTCTTTCTTTCTTTCTTTCTTTCTTTCTTTCTTTCTTTCTTTCAATCCTAAGGCTCAAAATAACTCTAACAGCTTTTATTTGTGGTAGAAAGAGAGTGCAAAATAGTTTTATTTTGTGGGAAAAATGTTGGCTTTCCCAGTTGACAGAGCTCTTCCCTTGAGTAGATGTTTCAAAAAGAGATTTCTCCACAAGGATGATAAATCTTAGTGCCAAGGCTGCCAGGACATGTCTGGGTCTTTGGCTACAAGAGTTGTGAGTAGTTGTTCCTTTGGGTAGGTGTCATAAAGGGAGATTTCTCTCTTTGTTTCCCACATGGATTGAGAAATCTCAATTTCAAGCTGCCAGTAATGCTATGTGTCTTCTTCAGTAAGGGTTGTGAGTGGTTCTTCAAGCTGGATTTTGTATTTAGATTGAATATATTTTCTAATAAATGTAATATTTAAATAGACAAACAATATAGATTTGAAATTTGATCTTGCTGTCAGGGAAGTAACAGGTACTGCACTAGAGTAAAGACAGCCTTTTTCTTTTTTTAAATTGAGTTTATTGTAAGCAAGGCACCAAGATGCAAGAGGGTACTGGGTGTGGATGAGTTAGAAATAGGAACGTTACTAAGGAACAAGAACTAGAGGAAGAGTAATGAAGAGGAAAGTATCTAGCAATTGACATTGCATTTAGATTTTTGCAGGTTAATGTTGGCTGGAATGCATGAAGCTTAAAAGAAGTTTCACAAATGAGAAGTGCAAAAAAATAAACTGTTAGCATAGAATTTACAGTTACTGCTAGCCAGCTCAACTGTAAATTGGTGAGACCCCATCATCAGTCTTAAATTCAGACCATATTTGGCAGCAATATTTTAAGCATCAATGAATGGTAAATAGATTCTAGAGAGAAAACCCATCTAGCATGACACAGTGAACCAACCTTCCTGGCCGCTGACCTAAGAATGGATTCAAAATAGTCTTTCTACTTCATGTGAACTGAGAATGTTAGCCCAAGAAGGCACAGTGAGTCACTCTCCTAGAGGACAGCAATATAATAAAAGCATTCAATCCTGCATACAGAATTGTCAAGGAAAGAATAATTACAAAGATCAGCCATTTGCTACATTTGTGTGAATCTACCACTCTCACTGTGTGATCAACTGTGAGAGTCATCTTTGCAGTGTTACACAGACTGATATTCCTCTCTAGTTGTGAAGCAGTCTCATTGCATTCCTTTGGGTAGTTAGGCTCGCATCGGATAGAATTTGATCCCATTTGATGAATCCTTTTAGGAAGTGGAATTAATGGTTAAAGGCAATAAAGCCATTAAGATGAAAGGGATCACTGAGATGAGAAGAAAACTATTAAGGAGAGAGAACAATAAAAAAAAAATAGGATTCAAGGAGACAAGATGATGACATTGCATTTAAATTTTTGAATATCAAAGTTAACTGAAAAAAAACAAGAAGCTTGAAGAAGTATGAAAGAAGAAACTGTTAAAGAATAGAACTTTTGGTTACATCTAGCAGCTATTTCAACAGTAAAATGATGAGACCTAGCTGCCAATCTAGTACTGTGCTTAAATTCATAAAGTCTAGGTACCAAAGAAGAAAATTCATTAGAACAATTACCATGAAAATATTTATAGAAAAGGCACAGAGAAACTATGTTAGCATGGTGGGAAAGTAACTGAAGCTGAGATGTCAGGTCATAACCATTAACATTGCTAATTCCTCTAAATACATAGCAGAAGCACCAGATAAGTTGTAACTGTAATATTCAATGTGTGGCTGAATTGTTGACTTATAAATGTGTAAAATGTATTCTGGAAAGAAAAATTGCCTAACACAAATCAGTAGACCTATTGATTCAATACAATGTTCCCACTTCATGTCAGTGAAAAATGTTAACCAAAAAAGATATAATGAGTCACACTACTGAAGCTTAGCATCAGCTATACTTATAGAAAGTAAAAAAGGACAATTAATTAAGACAAAAGAAAGCAGTTTCGTTTTGGAGGCATAAAAATTAACAAGCTATTCCCAGTTAACAACAGATTGTACCTCATTTTTTAGACTAGCTGCCAATTTGACCTTATCTAACCTAACAGATTTATTATTAAGATGGGTGTAAATAGATATCATCAGCATAGATAATGAAACAGGAAAACAAAAAGCAGCAAGGTATTTATTATAGAGTTGAGAGAGAACATTTGGGAGCTCATTTCTTAAGGACTGCTGCAGAGAAACCATCAAGTCCATGTGTGTTGTGGGGATCATGTATAGAGGTGATAGTAGAAACCATGGGTGGAGTAACATGGATATCACACAATAAAGACTCAATTCTAAGTAGAAAGTCAGGCAAATATACTCTGGATGAGTCAAGACTAGGATTTGAAAAGAATTTACAAACAAAACATTCTGCTTTATCAGTAGAGGTTAACACCTCAAATTAAGTGAAGAGAGGAAAAATAGATTTACTCTTATTTAACACACTATTACAGAGCCACCATTAGTCACCTGAACCAAACTTGTTAGAGGCTAAACGGTGCTTCAATCTGTCAGCAAACAAAAACTTTGCCTGTTTGAGGACAAGTTTACAAATATTATGAACAGACACAATGAAGCGTCTGTTATGATCAGAACTATCACATTGGTACAGCTGGAATAAGTGATTCCTGTGGGCTATAGTTGCTGAACAGGCAGGTGTGAATCAAGGAAAAAACTACACTAAAAGAAATAAGCTTAATTAAAACCCAAACTGTATTTTTATGTATTACCATGTTGTACATAGTTCCAAAGCCATTCAGAAATATCTAAAATGTTAAAATGGTTAAATATGACTATGTCTTGGTGAAGACCACACATTTTCAAACTTTGTGGACTGGTACTACAGAATCACAAACAAAATAAAAGAAACCACATCACTTGAGGACTTTGAACAGCAGCAACACTTAAAATGGATATCACATGTAACTCAAAAAGAAAACAATGACATGCTCAAGATATTGTCATTCCACACTACTTCAAATAAAAGGTTAGGAATACTGAAAAGAGGAATAACAGCTACTGGACTTGAGAAAGCTATTCTCCTGAAAAATTGTTTTAAGAGAAAGATTTTATAAATTTCAATCAAAAAGCAGTACAAACCGAATGCCGAATGTTTCCTTATAAGGAAACCGCTAATATTAACATTACAATTTACAGATTCAAAACAACATTTAAATATATAAAAAAAAACAGACCTCTTATCATTTATTTTCTTAACATTAGGCTTACTTTTTTAGGTCAACAAAAACTGTTCACCCTGAGGCTTAAATTTGAGCAATTTAAAAAAAGAACTAATGATTTTATTACATAAATTAAAAATGAGTTCTTCATGAAGATTAAATGACTAATTATATATTTACTGTACAAGTTTATTTTAAACTTGTTCAGCATTTATCTTTTGAATGACTATAGTTGCAATAGTTTTAATTTTTACTTAAAAAAATAGTGGCACTAGAAAACTAACCTGATCATAGTAAATATGTTAAACCAGTGATATAGACGTTTGCTAAAAAAAACGTCAGTAGGCAATGCCAAGAGTTTTTGCTTCTACAATCTGCCTATTCTTTTATTTTTCCCAAACTTTTCCTTTAGAAATCAAGAAAATTTATTTAAACAATACCATATTTCCTGCTATATAAGGTTTTATAAAACTTCTTGAAATTTTGGACTGTGTAAACTCGACCAGCCTCAAATCAAAG